CGCCCTGTTCCAGAAATCTGGTTTGTAGCTGTAGCTAATTTCTCCTCACAAGCTGTTAGGTGCTCCTGTGATGTCTGATATTTACTTTGTAAATTCAGCCATTGTCGGAGTATCCCCGCCTTGTCTGCCTTGCAATCGTCCAGCTCCTTTAATGCGATCTGCAACTGTTTTTGTAGCACATCGTTATCTGAACACACGGATTGGTACTCACGGTCTTTATCCCTGGCTTCCGATAGTGATGCTTCAAGTACTTGTAGTTTGCTGTTCAGCAAATCAATTTCTGCACTTGTATTTTGCTGTTCTTGAGACATCTGTTCATGATGTTTTCTTATGCGGGCCTCGTGTTCACTTTTAAATTGAAGGACGTATTCTTCAATTTCCTGAGCAAACACTATTTCACTGTCTAACCTCTGTTTGAGGTTATCAGCTTTCTCAACAGCCTTATAGAATGATTCTTTCAGCAAAATTGCAATTTTAGCCAGCTTTTCATAACTTGACTTTGTGATTTCTGTAGAGGTCACACTTTCTGCAACCTCCTTCAGATTGTCCAATAACTCTTTTGGGTTCATGCGCTCTGTCTGATTCATATATGGATGTAAGGACGCTGCCAGGAGCGCTAATGCGTTCTCCAAGCAGTCCGCCATCCCTTTTAGGTCAAAGTCTTTTTCTAACACACCTGTCATGTTTTCACTGTGTAGCAATTTATCTGTTTAAACAGTTGCAAGCTTCAGACATTTTACAGGTAAATATTTGTATTCAAGTCAATGAGTTTTCACACTATTTTAGCTTTTTGGGTTTACACAGAAGTACTGTTATAAGTCAACTTATTCAAATGTGGGTACCTTTCATCCCTGTTGAATGCCCGACGATCCACTTTGGTCATATTTTGAAGTAATCAAAGCCCGCCCCCTCAGAACAGGAAGTCTCTTTTTTTATGGGAAAGCTTCCTCTCTGACACCCTTGACTTAATTAGGATGATCCTGTGTTAGACGACATTTAACAAGTTGATCTGACTTGCTTTAAAGTGCAAACTGTTTTGGCTGGAGGATGTGGGCGTGGCAGTGTGGCAAATTAAGAAGTGACACCGTTGCAATATGTTTAACTCTAAATTGCACATATTTGAGCCGAGGTGTACCAAAATCACTATGATGGATCATTATTCACCCCTTGAACAGGTATCCATGATATGTGGCCAATAGCTTCCATAGCGCCCCCCTACATTATTCCTACAGTTATAGCTCGGTGATACATCATCCGATCTGTACCAGATTTATTGTGCGTCATCAGCGAGCACTTCTAGACACATTGATATTGTAGTTCAACATATGACTCCTGTGCACCCCCTAGATTATACCAACAGTTATATCTCAGTGATATATCATCTGATCTGCACCAGATTTTTGGTGCGTCATCTGTGAGCATTTCTTCACACATTGGTATTGTTGTTAAACATTTGACTAAAGTGTGCCGCCTTGATTATTTAAACTGTTATAGCTCAGTGATACATCATCCGATCTGTACCAGAGTTATTGTTAGTCATCAGTGAGCACTTCTACACATATTGGTATTGTGGTTTAACAATTGACTGAAGTGCACCCCCTAGAATATTCCAACAGTTATATCTCGGTGACACATCATCTGATATGCACCAGATTTATTGTGAATCATCAGTGAGCATTTCTAAACACATTGGTATCGTTTTTTAACATTTCACTCCAGTGCGCCCCCTAGATTGTTCTAAAAGTTATATCTCAGTGATACATCATCCGATATAGGCCACATTTAATTTGCGTCATCAATGAGTACTTGACACATTGATATTGTGGTTTAACATATAACTCCAGTGCGCCCCTAGATTAATCCAACAGTTATATCTCAGTGATACATCGTCCAATATGTACCAGATTGTTTGTGCTTCATCATTGAGCACTTGTAGACACATTGGTATTGTTGATTTACGACATGACTTAAGCCTGGCCCACTCAGAGAAGAAACTGATGATTATTGGGTGACTCTTGCAGCTTGGCACTGTGTAATATATTACTCTGAAACCATATTCGCTAACTGTTGATTACCATGTATGACATGTTGAAAAGCCTAAAGGAAGTCCTTTACATTCGTGACAAAACAGGAAGTGCCAATAACTCCTGTCTGGAAGGTCAGATTTTAGGCAATCTTGTAAGGCTTGCAGCTGGACTCATACTGATATGGGCGGAAGGCGATCGCAAAGATTTGGCATATGCGCACCCTGGTGGACGCATGCGGGAACGGCATGACAGCGTTCACGGTGGTAATTGGGAGGTGTTGCTGGAGCTCCCGAGGTCGCAGGTGATGTTGAAGATTTGGCAAATGCTCACTCTGGTGAAGGAGTGCGGGATAGGCATGAGAGCATTTGCGATGGCGACTGAGTGGAGTAGCTGGAGCTCCCGCGGTCGCCGTAAGGCCGGAGCGGCGCTTTGCTGCGAGGGCCTTCAATGCTGCTTGCAGCTTTAATTATTGCTTGAGGTTGCCTGTTTAGATGTTTAGAAACAAACTGTGATGTTTTGAAATGGAAACCAATCTCGGGATAGTGTTAAGACTCGGACTTTAAGTTTAATAAACAGATCATCTCTGTTCTACAGAAAAGCTTCTTTCAGCTAAGACAAATAGCAAAGCTTAAGTCCGTTCTGTCCAGATCCGACCTTGAAGAATTAGTCAATGCATTCATTACAACCCGACTGGACTACTGTAACTCACTTTATGTTGGGGTTAGTCAGGTTTTGCATTTACGTTTCCAGCTCGTACAAAACGCTGCCACTCTGCTTTTAACAGGAACTCGCAGGTTTGAGCACATTTCACTGGTTCTGTCCTCCCTTCACTGGCTTCCTGTGCGTGTCAGAATTAATTTTAAAATTCTGCTGACATTCAAGTGCATTAACGGCCTTGCACCCTCATACCTCTCTGACCTTCTTCATCCTTATGCTCCTTCTCGGGCTTTGAGATCATCAGACCAGCTGCTTTTGGTGGTACCACAAACCAGGCTGAAGCTCAGAGGAGGTCGGGCATTTTCAGTCGTGGGCCCTAAACTCTGGAACAATCTGCCCATCAATATTGGTCAGGCCACCTCAGCCTCCGCTTTTAAAACTCTTCTAAAAACACACCTCTACTCATTGACATTTAACACAGGGTGATCAGATGTAGATTTAGTATTTCATTGATTCTGATTCTGTTTATGCTTTTTTGTTATTATTCCTTGAATTTTGACACAGGGTGATCTGATATAGTATTTCATAGTTTCTAATTATGTTTTGTGTTTTATATTTTATTCCATGTGCTGTAAATATCTTGTTACCTTTTATTTGATGCTGTGATCTTTTTGTTAAGCACTTTGGTAACAGTTTCTGTTTTAAATGTGCTCTATAAATGTAGATGAACAGATGCTGAGATATATTCATCAATTAAAACGGATTCTCTGATTTTTCTGGACTGTATATAACGTGCATTGAATTTAATAAAATGTAACGTGAGACATTATTTATCTTTGACCCATCAAAATGAATGTGGTCATTTATTTACAGAATCAAAGTTTAACATCAAACATTTACATTAATTTGGCAAAATATGAAAATAACAACATAATTAATCAGCTTTACAGGTAGTGAGAAACAATACGGCGATTGTTTCACTTTTCAGCAGAACAGCAGACATCAAATCTCACAGCGGTGATTGAGAACTTTGCTTCAGACATTTCTAAAAATATCTGGAATGATTTCTACTTGATAGAAGAATTTTTAAAGATGGAAAGATGAAGTTTAGTGGGAGTGAAAGATGGATGAGGGAGAATGTGGTGTGTATGAGTGAAAAGTGTTGACAGGACGACACCCTCCATCCGACCCAGCTTTCCTCGGTACGCTCAGTAGTGGACTAGGCTCATTTACCTCTCTGACGATGAATCAGCGGAAGAGGAGCTCCAGTTAACGCTACCTTTCAGCGTCTCCGTAGGATGGCAGAGATACGTCCGGAGTGGTGACGGGACTTCGTCAACAACAGTTCACCTCAACGAGTGGACCTCACATGAGTGGGGTTCGTCCGAGTCCACTCAGAGGTGGAAGATGTTATAATCCCAAACTCGGAAGAGCCTTATCATGGCTGGACTTCTGTTCTCCCAAACGACTGGAGCTGCAAACTCTCCAGCCCGACTCCAACGGCAACTCACAGAACAACGACTTCACAGAACTGCGAACAACTCAGAACTGGGAGAACTAGGAAGTACCGACATTTTAAAGGGCTCTATTCCCGGTTCATTTGAGAGTTTCTGATTGGTCAATATCAACCAGACAGGGGTGTGTTTTGTGATGTAAGGTGTTATGGAAAGTCAGAAACCAGCAAGAATGTTATGGAACAGATTGAAAATATTTCCCAGACAGGAGAGAGAAATGTTTGGGCGAGTTTGGAGAAACAGGTGCCAACTTCTCTGTTTACGTCTGAGAGGATTTAAAAACAAGACAGTTGTTCCAACACTTGTCTGCTTTGACTCCTGACCTTGGAAAACGTACACTGCTCATTCAAAGACAGAAATCAGAAAATGCATAATTACTCTGTAACAGGCCTTAACATGAATTCTACTTTGCATAAGCAACTAAAAAATCATTGTTACTGTTTTACAGTTAATAAAATTGATTAGTTCCCTGTAGCATCTAAAATGTTTGAACTAAAACACTTTGATTATCAAACATTTGTAAAACAGTAATGATAATAGAAAAGAGAGTGTTCTTTCACTTGAATTTTCAAGAAAGAAAGTCTCAGGATGGGTGAACCTGTATTTCTGGATTCAAATCAATGAAATGACAGTTTCTGTCCCACAAGGTTCTTAAGGTCAAGGGTTTTGACCTTAGGTCAAGTTCACTACATAAATAAATCTGACTTGACTTGACAGGTTAATCCCATTGAGCCTCAGGGACTCATTTACAAGAGAGACCTGAAAATGTGTTGTAAATTTGTGTGTGACTTGTCTGCTGCAGAGTTCTACGAGGAGATCCTGTCTCTGGCTTTCGGCCTCACCTGTCAAACCATCTCCCCTCAGATGTGGCAGCTCCTGGGTATCCTGTATGAGGTCTTCCAGCATGACTGTTTTGACTACTTCACAGGTATCTTGCACAAAGCTTAGATTTTTTTGTGTCTTTATCTCTACAAAGTTTATCGTAATTACCAGTCTATAGAATGCACCAGAATGTAAGCCACGCACACAAAATAAATGTTCAAATAAAAATTGTACATATGTAAGCCGTGCCGGTGTATAAGCCGCAGGTGATCATGTTGTAACTTGAGTGGCAGTGCACAGCTACAGAGAAAAATGTGCAGCTCTTGTGTTCTAGCTTGTATAATAGGAATCAACCACCAGATGTTGTTTTATAGACGTTGTTTTACTGTTCAATACACACAGAGGGCAGCACGGTGGTGCAAATGGTAGAGCTGCTGCCTCTCTGCGAGCAGGTTACCCTGGTTCAAATCCTAGTCCGGGGGCCTTTCTGGGTGGAGTTTGCATGTTCTCTCCGTGCATGCGTGGGTTTTCTCTGGGTACTCCGGTTTCCTCCCACAGACCAAAAACATGCATGTTAGACTGATTGGTAACTCTAAATTGTCTCTTGGTGTGAGTGAGAGAGTGAATGGTTGTTTCTCTCGTTTGTCTCTATGTGGCCCTGTCATGGACTTGCGACCTGTCCAGGGTGTCCCCCGCCTCTTGCACAGTGATGGCTGGACATGGGCACCAGCGACTACCGCAACCCAAAAAGGAAGAAGCGGATAAAGATGATTGATGGATGGAAGGAACACACACAGACAGAGTGAACTCCACAGGTCTTCATGACAACTATCTCCCTCACTCATGATTACTCTACTGAATGGCACAGCACGATTGCGTAGTGGTTAGCACTATTGCGTCACAGCAAGAAGGTCCTGGATTCCATTCCTGGTTGGACCTGGGGTCTTTCTGGGTGGAGTTTGCATGTTCTTCTTGTGCTTGTGTGGGTTTTTTCCGGGTACTCCGGTTTCGTTCCACAGACCAAAAACATGCATGTTAGGCTTCCTTCAGGCCCAGGCCTTCCTTGCAAAAGAGATCTGTGATCTCAATGGGATTTGCCTGGTTAACTAAAGGTTAATACAGTGGTTCCCCAACCTGGGGGGACCAACCCCCATGGGGGTGGTGGGTAGGGAGCACATGGGGGGTCGCATAATATGTCTGCTTAGAGGTTGTAAAAATGTCAATTTATTGTCTGTGTAACAACTTTAAAAAATTTTATTTTATTTTTAATTATAATGTTTGAAATTTCACCAAATCCTGATTAACACTGAAGAACCCTCATTTTGGTTATGTTTGAAGAGTTTTCTATAACGTATTATGTTGAAAACTAAAACCTGTACTGTCACTTTAAGAGCGCTTTGTTATGATGTCAGTACTCAGCGTCCAGCTCTTAGTTGGCAGCGCAGCTGCCTGAAAAGAGGCAGGGAGTTATCGTTGGTCTTGGTTAAGCTCACATTTTATTAAATATATAATATAAACGTAAGCACATGCAGCTGTGAATGTTTAAATGTGTAAAACACACACAAAGGAGTCATTTTTCTGACAACATAAGAACATTTTTCCCTAGTTTAAAACATATATTTTTATTATTATTGGTGATGTGAAAGTCAGGAATACTTTCAGGAACAAGCAGTAGACATCAGAAAGCCTTTGAAAGAGCATGTAGTGATTTGCACAGAGCTACAGAAGCATCTTTTGAGTGTTCCCTTTTAATCACTAAGGTTAAAAATCTGCACAATATTGCTGCTCTGTCTGTCTGTGAAATTGCTGTGAGACTCTTGCATTTCTTCTGAACCATAATTATGGACTTGTTTTGACCAGTCGGTCCCTCAACTCAATTTACAACATTTCTTCAAAGAGAAGACAGGCTTTAGGCGAGTCGATTTACCCTGTTGGCACGTACGCAGCTGGATATCTCATCAACTGGAAAACTTGATGATGTGTCTATCTCTGCTACCATCTGTGGATTTTAAGGATGCATATTTAATTGGATTCACGATAACTGGTTCCTGCTTTGTGGAATCAGCTGGTGCTGGTTTTATCTACAATCAAGGAAGTCATCAGCAGCAAATTTGGACCCGATCACGCTGCTTGCCTTTATGATGGCTTGGTTCATGTCTGGAGTACCCGGACTCAAATGCTTTGAGCTGAATGGAGCAGATCTTGGGGATTTTTACTCAGTCACATTCCATCTGTGTGGCCATGTTAATTTGGACATTTTGGAACCGAGTAGACCGACACAGACTCAAGGTTGATGTCATTAAGTTCTGCCTGTCCCCAAAACAACTGTGTGTTTATCTAAATTTTGGTCGCCTTGGCTGGCCTTGAAGGCCATCTTATCTGAAGTCGCCTGGAGAAAATGTGATCTGATGCTCACCACCCCCTCCCTGAGGAATTTCCAACTGATAACCAGATGGAACCAGCTGAATAAACTTTGTGTCATCATTTCAGGACTCTGGATTCTCATAGAGGTTATTCTTGGCCATTTCTCGACATACCTCGAGAATGTTTATGGATCTCACCGGAGGACATTGACTGATTACAGTGACCTCGAGAGCATCTATAAGCGTTGTTGACCGCTCTCGTCTCTGATGGCAGAATGTCTAAGTAAATATGTGCTTGTTTGTGCAAGGTGTTTTTTCAATATTAGAGGTTTTTTTCAGCCAAGAAAAAAGTCTGATAGGAATTTTTTTTCGCCTCCAACTCATACATGTGTCCAGTTAACCACTGTTTTTGTCTGTCCAAACAGGTCTCACTTGTAAATGAGTCTTCGAGGCTCAATGTGATTTATCTGTTTAAATAAAGGTTGAATGAATGAATTGGAGAAACCTTCTGAAACCCGCCTGCCTGAATAATGTAAAGTTGATGTGTGGGGCTCATGCAGTGGATAAAATGAAAACTGTCCCACTCTCTAACACTGTCAGAGTCAGTCAGAGTCAGAGTTTCTTTATTGTCCTTTTTTTTATTATTTATTGTCATATTGTCAAGGACATAATAGATAAAATAGCTGAAAATTGCAAAAATCAGCTGCATGATAGGATCTTGACAAAACTACATTTAAAAAAATTTAAGACTGTTTTTAAGATTACTCTTTTAGTTTAAAAAAAAAGTTATTTGAGTAATTCTCAAAACAGTGTTCTTGTAGTTGTTATTTCTGTTGTACAACTACCAGTTTATACCTTTTACAAATAAGTTTGTAACTATTTACTTTATTATTTTATTATTTACTTTATTCTATTTTTAACTACTATTACTTATAATACTAATTATAATATTTACTTTATTATTTTATCAATTTGATGAAGAGATTAATCTGATTGAGTCTTTTGGGAGAGGGGAGTAGCGAGGGATTGGGGGGGCTCAGATTGGCTAGGAAGTACGAAGGGGGGGTCTTTAAGGAAAATAGGTTGGGAACCATTTGGCTAATAAAATAAAATAAAATAAACACAAACTAACACATAATAAACACATGAAACACACATGCTAATAAAAACAGACTAATCGCTAAAAGAACAATGCTAAACAGATAAACAAAATGATTAACAATGAGCATAAATTTTACCCATAATTCTTCCCTGAGGCCATGTGACCAACAGTCAACCACAATGGACCACAGAATGCTACAATACATACACAAATACAGTACGTACACTGATTTCTTTTTTTGGGGGGGAACAGTGCTGGTAACACGGCTGGTTAAATAAAAAAAAAACAGTAGCCTACCAGGAAGTCATTGATCACTAAATTCTTCTTGCTGCAAGATGCTGGTGAAGATTCTGTAATTTAGGATATGGTAAATCCAAAAATGATTGAAGGCAAAAACAACTGGACTTCTATTCAGTAGCTGAAGACGTTTCGCTTCTCCTGCTGCAGCAGGAGCCAGGAGGACTTTAACAAGAATTTAATAAAATTAATACTTAAAAACAATTATTTGTTTGCTCAAAATTATAAAAGATGTGTCTCAGTCCAAAAAAAGTTCAATCTGGTCCTCTGGACATTCAAAAAAACAAAAAACAAAACAAAGCAAAAAAATATAGAAACGTTTCGTCTCTCATCCAAGAGACTTCCTCAGTCTGAGGTGCTGTATTCAGCTCAGTCTCTTAAATAGCACCTTCTCAGAGTGGATCAACCAGTTTGCTGCTGACAACCAAAACCAGCTGATCACATGGTCAAGAAGGACCATCAGCCTAACAATGGATCATTAGCACACTGATGGCTGTTTATTATTCACAGAGGGCTGAGTGATACTAGCAATCACAGCATTGTAAGAGGGGGG